ATAAAGTTGGTATAAATTCCTAAAGTCTCGCTCAAATGAACACATTTTCTGCTTGACTAGTGTGATCATTTGAGCATGCAACCAGCGACATCATGGTGGCGCATGCGTGCAACACGTGCGAGGGACTGAGATCTCGTGTCGAAAGGTTGTGCGAGGCCGTTTTTTTTATTTAACACCGTAGGTAGTTTTTTAACATTTAGATGGATATCTGGACGTGTTTTGTTGGCCATTGTAAGGGCCAGAGTTAAGAGCAAATCCCTTTTCCCTTCCCATCACCCCTAGTCTGCTACACAGCCGTTTTTAGTGTCGTCACGCAATGCGTGACAACCCTAAAAATAGACCAAGAGTTAACCTGAGATCAGGCTCAATTTTTGTCTCGCTTTGTAATAACATTCCGGCGGGCAAGGCGAAACGAAAACAAAAAAAATTCTAAATTTCAAAATTTTGAAGAAATATATCGCGAACTTTTTCAAAGGATATATAAATTATTTCAGAACAAACCCAACGAGTTCTAAAGTGTATTAATGCAGCTGATTTAGTCCTGTGCGTACACCCGCAATAAATTAATAATACTTGCGAATTTACTAGAGAAACAAACGGGTAAAAAAAATATAAATCCAGGTAGATATTATCTGCCACTAACTGCATGCTCAAATGACCTATAAACAAAACGAAAAACAATATTACAAACACACTTTGTAGCTCTCCTTTTTTAGATTAGTTGTGTTGTTGTTTTACTGCAGGCCTAAAAAGCTCACTAAATTTATTTACATTAATCGAAATAACCAAACAGCAAACAGCCAACGAGCGAGGACACTAGTTTTCCTGGTTTATCTCTTATAGAAAAGCGAAGGCAAACAACAAGTCTGTTACCTTAAGACTAGCGCCACCAGCTTTTATAATAATGCCTACAAAAAATCCTTGAACAGCGATGCGACATTTTTCGTCGAACACTTCACAGTTGGCGATTGAGGTTTCTTTCGCAGTGAGCCTCCGCTTGCGTACCCCGTTCAGAGACGTCATTCCCGGCCAAACTTTCAAATGAAGCCAGTTTTAATGTGGACAGTATTTTGATTTGCACTCATTTGTTGGTAAATAGGCACCTTGTTAGCGGTCAACAACCTGCAGAGGGATTCAACTCCTCAATAAACTCACATTAGTTCCGTAACTAAAGCAAATCGTGAGAAGATATGAACAACCATATGAATTTTCTGAATTCCATGGCACATATTAAGGCATACTTTCCTACCATAAGACCATAAAACAATAAAAAAAAGACAGCAAAATCGATCCTTTTCTCCGCCGACGGCGGATCATTCACGAAAACAACCACGAGGAAGAAGCGCTTTCAACTTCCGGTGTTTCCGACAACCAATCAGCGTTAGGCTCGATACAGTTTTTCAGGGCCAATACCTCCCAAGTTTGAGCGTAAACTACGTGGCTATAAACAAAGTTTTGGAAAAATTGCCACCACAGTTGTATTAGATAAAAATGAAAATATGTTATGATCAGGGTTGCAACGGCATCGGAGTTGTCATAGCAACGAAATGACGCTATTACCTATTTTACTTGCAGCAGTGTATCTCGGCACTGAGAACTGTTCTTTTAAGATCGTTCACGGGAGCTTTTTCCTCTAATAGCAGCCTCGATGTTCGTGAAGTTTAAGCGAAATCTGTAAGAGCGTTGTCGAGATATATTGGGATGATGTTTTTATGATTAGAAACACAGTAAAAAATGGACAATATTGTTGTTCCGCCATTATCTGTAGAAAATGAAGCGCTTTTGACATGCAATTTCACCTGATAGTAGTTTCAATCTTTTTAAAAACGTGTGTGAAGGATCATGGAGATAGCTTCAGCCGATTGCTAGAAAGAAGGGTTTTATTAGTATATATCGAAGCGCTCTTGTTAGCGGTTTTGTAAACATTTTGGTCGTCTTTAAAAAATTAGTGAATAATTTTTAAACCGCTCGATAGATTTTTTTAAAAATTTAAGATTCTTGAGATTAACCTCTCTTTTATATGACCTTTTAGTTTCAAGACTATTGATACATTGTAAGGCAGTAAAATCAGGGACCGCGGAGACCATTTTAAGGTGGTAGGGCTAAAAACTCTGGCCAATATAAGGAAACATTCAGGTCGGTGTTTCGCCATTTATCTTGCATTTGCGCGCCACCTTATTTACCACCTCAACAAATATAACATAAACGTCCACACGTGTTATACTATCCAATATAACCAATATGTTAAATAAACCTCCTGAGGCTGCTACTTTTTGAAGTTGCCCGAAGTGCCGAAGCTTCCCTTGCGATTCTTATTACAGGAAACAAACTCCTGTGTAGCTATAGAGACACTGTCTATTCTCCGCTTGTGACCATTCAACACTGCTAGGTCACCCATCCTGGATAGAAGCCACGTCTTCAGACGCCGTGCAGATGAGAATGAACGCTCGTCAACAGCGCTGGTTGCAGGATTTACAGCAGGCAGCTTACAGATAGTTTG